GTATAACATAAATCCAAAGATTTTTTTATGTAGATTGAATGCGGGCGTACCCGCGGGTTTTGCTAGTATTATTATATGTATAGAAAAGGCAAAGGCGCACTAAAGCTTATGTTTTTAGGGAACGGTGACAAATAACGAGTACGTCACACAAAGATTTATATCAACGTCACAGACTCGGTGTCGCGTTTCACAATACATTTATTGAAACTAAAAAATGTATAGTGCACTCTTCTAAACAGCAACTCTTACTTAGATTAGGAATCAAGAATGCTTTCTCCAAATAACCTCTTGTGTACGTCGTCAGAATACTGATATAATTTATTAAATTCTCAGCATTGTTCCATATCACTGTTTTAAAGTGGGCGTAACGCTCAAACGTACAAGAAGAGGCTGACTCGGGACTGAGAGAACAGGACTGTTTTTACTTTAATTGCTTTGTACATACTCGTATATCTTCATTACATCAAATCAAATTTAAACACCATAAATAACAATCGTAGATATGTAAATAAATCTTACTTCTTTCATATAATAAAACTCTAACTGAATAGAATCTGTACCTACATTAAATATTTTTTTGGAAAATCTTATTGAACTACTCATTATTATAGGTAGAGAGGCCGAACCTACAGTTTTTAGAATTTTTGTCTGCCTGTTTATGTGGGAACGCATAACGAGAAACCCACAGGACAGATTTTGATGAGGTATGATGATAGTGATTATCCGGGTCATCATATAGAATACTTTTTACTGCAGGATCTCATCTCTGAGAAATCTATACTAAACGTTAAAATGTAACTAGGGACGAACCCAAGCGGAGTGAGGGTAAGTCGCTAGTAATATTATAAAGGTGATAGTTTAGATGGATGTTTAGATATTTGTTACTCAATCAAGCCAGAACGGCTGAACGGATCTGGATGAAATTTGGCAACGAGGTAGATTATAGTCTGGAATAGCACATAGCCTACTTTTTATCCCGGAAAAATGTATGGTTCCCGTGAGATAGATTTCTTTTTACTAGAGGCGAACCCGAGCGAAACGAGTGTAAGTCGCTAGTTTTATTATAAAAATGTAAGTTCCAATTCGATAGCCTTGGAATACTATTGAATTATTTGAATTCATCCTATGTATGCCTAGGGCTTACGTCAGCTAGATCTTGGCTTTCATTTATGGATGCCTCTAACCTGACATTTAAACGGCACTTTCTAACAGCTTGTTACTTAACCGCTGTGCCGTGACTTTTAATGAGTTACACAATGTTACTTACAATGAATCAATAAATAAATTGTCTATGACTTTACTTCCATCAAGTCATGTTTTTCAACCCAAATTCGTCTTAATTTAATTGAGTCATTGAAGCCAGAAATAAATCTTCTGATTACCTGCGAAGCACAGGCCCAAAATATAACTAAGTATTGATGAAAAATAATCAATTTTTATCCGATTTCGCTTACGACTGTCGTTCTCAAAAACTGCCGAACCATCTGATGATAGCATGTATCTTGGTAGGTGCCAATACAGTTTCTTACCAGATTGCTACTGAGAATTTCTCGACCGGAACCTGAACCCAGATCTTTAGGATTTGAGGCAATTATGCTAGACTGAATAGCAGACCGATCCGAAATATAATCTTGTGTTAAACCAAAATCAATACTACAACTACATCATCAATGAATTGATATATGAAAAGGAATTATAGATTAATTAATAGAAGTAACAATAATTACGTATTACTCGAAACTATAAACTGACATTTCTATCAAATAAAATGTAATAATTTTATTGTATTAATCTGTTTTAACCATAGACATAGAGAGTGGACTGAGTGTTTCTTTTTTTTGTCAGCCATCAGCTAAAATTTGCGGAAAAGCGACAGAGACAAAACAAATGTGCGGCCAGAAGTCTTCTGTATTCATTGAAATACGATTAATTTAGATAGATATTTATAACCATTCTGCATTCCATTATACTCGTAATATTATAATTTTCGATAATATTATTATTTATATTTTGTCACATTCCATTTATAAATTTAAATTGGAATAACAAATAGACCGGTATTAGCCGTATGTTCGCTTTCTCTCTTTGTCAATTTCATGACTGTATTGCTCATTCCATTCTCTATGTCTATGGTTTTAACAAAACAAACAGACAGCGAGGAAGACAGACGGTATATATCATTTAGTAATATCTGGGCGTTCTAAAAGACAAAAGCTTTAATTAAACGTACAATGCTATTGCAGTCGGGTAATTCAGTAATCAACAAAGGTACTGTAAACCTCTTAGAGCCTATACAATGTCGTCACAATGCGTATTATTTCATAGAGCGAATTATATATATATATATATATATATATATATATATATATATATATATATATAAGTCCTTCCTTTACCTAACGTCTTCAAGAAAGATTGCTATCTCATATTTCTGCAAGAACTTGTGCATATCAAGGTTTATGTTTAACACTATATGCATTATAGAGTTACTATAGTTACACTCGTTTCCTTCCCGAAATGCCAAAATATTCTTTGGGCTATGTGTTACTCCAACTCATCTATACATATAATAAAATTGTAACAAAGCCGAATCTGTGCATTAAATATTTATTAGAAAATCTTATTGAAATAGACATTATTATCGATACAGAGGCCGAACCTATACTTTTTAGAATTTTTTGTCTTTGTGTCTGTCTGTCTGTTACCGCATCACAGAAAAACCACTGGAGGGATTTTAATGAAATTTGGTATGGTGACAGTTGGTTATCCGGGTCAACATATAGGATACTTTTTACCGCGGGAAGAGATTTTATTTCTGAGAAAAAATACAAAAACTGTATTATAAAAGTATACTAATATGTAAAACCTAAGAATTTGGTTTTTGGTCACCTGAACGCGGGCGGAGCCGCGGGCAATGCTAGTAGGTCAATAAAATTTCATCCAAATTCATCCAGTCACAACAGTTTGAAGGAATATATTTTAGGAATTTCGCTCAAGCGACAAGCTTATTGCTTTGTAACCGTTTAGTTGTATATTGGGCAATGATATGTGAAAGGACACTATCAGATTACTATAAATTCACTCTACAATATTTGGTAGAAGCGACAAAAAATTGAATAATCAATTCTGCATTTCCAATGAATTTAGAAAGCTTTAGAATTAACCCACAACTATGCTTTGTTGGTATAAAATCTAAATACTGCCACTGAGCTACACATGTACAGATTTCATATGTAACTAGCGACTCACCCTCGCTCCGTTCAGGTTCGTACCCAGGCACGTTTTAATGGTTCGTATAAATTTCTCAGAGATATTTTCCCACAGTAAAAAGTAAATACGTAGTATATATGTTGACTCGGACAACCAGCTATAATTATACTAAATTTCATCAAAATCTGTCCAGTGGTTCTCTTGTGATGCGTTCCCAGACAGACAGACAAAAATAATAAAAAGATATAGATTCGGCCTCTGTATCGCTATCGATAAAAATGACTATTTCAATAAGATTATCTAAATAATATTTAATGTACAGATTCGATTCAGTTAGAATTTATAGATAAATGTAAATTTGTTTTGAAATCTACAGTCAAGTAGATGCAAGAATATTGCTATATTAGTTAACATGCGATAAGCGGTAATGGGTGCACCAAACTACTTGCTAACAAAGGCCTGCGTAATGGCGTTATTTCGTGCCGAATTATCTGATGCCCTGCCCACGCTCAAATATATGGATACTGTATGCTAAATAATATCATTCTGTACTTATGAATATATTATTATTATTTTAGAGCAGATAAGTTTATAATAGCTTACGGCTTAGTTGGATCGACGGTTAGACAACCTATTTATTCTATTTAATGCTTCTTTTTTAACTTTACAAACTCTTTGAGTGGTCTATTTTCATTTAATAAACTAGTGGACAACCCCTGCTTTGCTTAGATACATTAATAAATTGGACCCAGTTATGGAAAAAAAACAGCCATGTGCCAACAGAGTTATAAGCATTTTATTACAAAAAATAATATAATTTTAAAAAATAAACAATACTTATATAAATATTGTTCAATTTTAAAATAACCAGAAAAACAAAACATAACCCAAGTGCAACTATCAGAAAAATGCTTATAACTCTGTTGGTACTTTTACGCACATGGCTGTTTTTTGCATAACTGGGTCCAATTATAATTTGCATCGGGTTAACCACTAGATTTAAGGTGATAAAAGAGGCCAAAAATCCTATACCACTCTATGGCAAATAACCACATCAATAACTTTTTCTATTGCTGCGTGAAAGATGGACACACAAACACATTTTCTAATTAATAATATTACATTAGCAAAGATGTTAGTATTGCTAGTACGCAGGTTAGCTACTTTTTTTTGTATGTGTTAGACTTATTTTAACAAAAAAAAACATCGCTTTCAAAAAAATTTATTAATGAATTTTGAATCATTCAACCATTAAAAAGATTCTTGTTGTATTAATTCAAAGCGCATAGAACAAAATTAAATAAGCGAATCAAATGTGCAAGCGGGTTTATTGTTTTATTGGAATTTTAATGAGCACATTTAAATGGATTTTGTATTAACTTAGTATGAATTTATATCACTCAAGACTTAACTATTGCTTCATTTAGACTTTAATTTTATATCTTGACAACACGTTTGGCTCAGTTTGTATAGATCCTGCTTGCTGTATTATTGTGTATTTAGTATTATTTTTCACTTCCTGTGTAATGTATCGCTTCGAGAAAAGGATGGTACTGCCGTACCCTTTTTTTGCTCGACTTGGCGGGTGCACTGCCGTGCCCCCCCGATTCTATCTCATTCTCTCGCTGGCTTTTTAGAAATAAATTTTTTTTTATTTATTTTTAATTTTTATATGTTTATCTGTTTCTCGTGTAGCATTTTCGTTTCATCGAGTTCCAACTCACAATAATTCTAAGGAAGTTTTACTTCAATAAAAACATAAAATTAATATGATATTCTCCTTGTTACAGCTTAGACCGTGACCAACCATTCACATTCCAACTCGGCGTCGGACAAGTCATTAAGGGATGGGATCAAGGTTTATTGGACATGTGCGTTGGTGAGTGAAACCCTTTTTTTAAATTAAAAAAAAATTTAAATCTATCCCATTTACTTAATTAGGGTAGTTTTAAAATAAAACTATCTTTTTGGATTTTTTCGCCGATTTATTTTGATTTTTGGTTCCCGACGTTTCATGGTCATGGTTAGAGCAAATTTATTTTATTTTAAAATGTCAAATATTAGCGTAAATCTAAAACAGTGTTATAAGACAGTTTCATTAGAGATGTTATGCTTTCTTGTATATGTCGACTCAGAGTCCCAATGTTAGTGGAATTTATTTTGTTAAATTAAATTATTATAGAAATATTGAGATTTACTATAAAACAAATGTATGAACAAAATATGTTAATATTCCCGATGATAGCAGCCGCGTTGGTCATTTGCGTAATATTTACTGCATCTGCTTCATTACACGTTTCAATGGCAATGAAAACGCGCTTTACATATTTGGTATCATATATAATATAAAATTTAGCCATGACTTCACATAATTCTGAAAAAAAATCTCCATTTATCTATGGCCCTTTCGCCCATTAATACTTAATGTAATTAAGGATAGTGGTATAAAGCTTATTCAAATTTTGCATTCTCTTGGAAAACCAAGTGTAGCGGGTTCAAATCCCGGATCTCGCACCTCTAATATTTTCATGTGCGAATCATTTCTAACATGATTAGCACTTGTCTTACGGTGAAGTAAAACATTGTGAGGAAACCTGCATGTCTGAGAAAACCTAGCAAGTTTTCGAAAGATAGTAAAGTCTGCCATCCCGTACTTGGCCAGCGTGGTGGACTATGGCCTATAACACGAGGGATGTATTGATGGGAGGCCCACCCCCAGCAGTGAGACGTGAAAAAGGGCTGAATACATACATACATTGTTTACGTCACATTTTCGATAATAATAAGTGTCGAATTTCGATCACGGGATCATCCAACAAAAATACTTAATCATACATTAGAATTGGTAGGTAAGGATTGAGCTTAGGTAGGTAATTATAACTTGTGACGTATTCCATGCAACAAGTTCCCCCGCTACGCTCTTCTTCGCGAGCGACTTGTTAAACTGAACATGCATCAACAATTTCCTTACAATGTACCTGCTGGTATGAATGAAACTTTTTAAAATGCAAATTTCAAGAGCTTGGAAGAAAAATATGTTACAAAGCTATATATAGCATATTTTTCTTGAAATCTTCTAATGATAGAAATAAGTGACATCCTAAGAACTAATTTATTTATTTAATGGATGGACATTTGTTATTATTATCTATTGTTTATATAACTTACTACTTTTACTGCATGTACCTAATTAGAAAAATTAGCTAGTTTTGATATAATTTTCACTGAACGATACAAGCTTTTACATTGCTTTGTTGAAGGTAGGTTTATTAATAAACTCATTTAACAGAAATATATTTTTATTTAAAACTAGCAACTTACCTACCCTCCCTACGCTCGGGTGCGTCCCGCTCCCTAGTAAGGTTTTAGTTTTTTTGAGCGGAATCCTAATTATTTTTCTAAAATATAAGTACCCTAAGTTTATTCCTTATAATATCAACTATTTACCAGTGAAAGTTCCGTCAAAATCAATCCAGCCGGAGATCAGCCGGAACGAACAGATAGACAAACAAGAATTTTAAATTTTGCGTTTTTCTTTTATGTAGCGTATATAATGTCATAATAATGCAGTAAAAAGCTGTTATTTTGACATTACAAACAATCTATCATCACAATTCACACATAAAATCTACAAAGAGAGAAAAGCGGTAGTGTACCGCTTCTTTTTCTTGATCCCCAAGTTTGACAGTCAAAAAATAATCAAATACCTTATACATATAAGGCATTAGGCATATATTATTTTTTTGTTTGTTTTTTTTAAAGTCCAAATATGGTTTTTGGGAATTTAATAACTTCATATGAAAAAAAATTGCGCGATATATCAGCATTTTTTTGGTTTTTTTCTTAATATGAAATTAGGTAAAAAAAATTAACAATTTTATTAAAATATTGACATTACCGCGCCTGTTAGCTTGCATTAAATAAAAATAAGTCATACACTGTCCCAAGTCTCTAAATAAATTGGCTAGCAAATTCACGTCAAACTTCCAGATGTGATGGTATTTTAAGACCAAATATCCTGCTGTTATTTTAAATAATCGCCAGCTGTTCACTGCAAGGCAACCAGTTCAATGCCAAGCTTAGGGGCATCGTTCCCATTAGGACAGTCACGATCAAAATAATCGTTTAATGTATCTTAAACATGCTGGAAAGCAATGAAATATTATTTTTTATGTAAATCCAGTGATCTTACTTGTAGCTCTTTGCAAAAGGTCTTGTACTGGAATAAAACAGACTACATACATACATCACTCTCCGACCAATCCGATAAACTATCAGTACGCCAAATATTACGTATCTATTTCTGCATTAAAGCCATGAAGAAGTGCTAGGAACTACCGCTTCACATCCAAATATTCACAACGCATTCGTCTTAATTCTTATTCAGGATAGTGATTATCTCCATTTTTAATTTTCAGGTGAGAAACGTAAGCTGACCATCCCGTCCTCCCTCGGATACGGCGAGCGCGGAGCCGGTAACGTCATCCCCCCTCACGCTACCCTCCACTTCGAAGTCGAGCTCATCAACATTGGTGACTCTCCCCCAACTACCAACGTCTTCAAAGAAATCGACTCTGACAAGGACAATATGCTCTCCAGAGAAGAAGTGAGTATTGAGTTAGGCTTCCGAATGATGGACTCTAACGGCGATAACGAACTGTCGCGGGAGGAGGTCAGTTAATAATGGTTTTTGGTTTCTACTCTCAATACCTCGGTGATGGAAATTATTAGAAACTCTTGAGAATGGTCTTTCGTCTTTCGATTTTAATCTATCGTTTGTTTGAGGTTTGGGTAAAGCATTTCAGAATTCCTTTCGATACTTAATGGCCTTTTCTTTCTTATGTATGAAGCTTGTTCTAATAATCCGAGGGTAAATTATTGTAAACTCTATAAGTTTGTGATTTTGACCACTCCACTGCTACTTACTAAGATCATGTTCTCAAATTAAACGTCTTGATTATGGAGACTCAATAATAACTGTATTACCTATTTCCCACTAATAAAGTAGAATAGAATAATTCTTTAAAAACATGGAAGATTATAAATATTATAAACAACCATCAGTTGAACTCGGTAACGTCCAGAGTATTATAAAATGTAAAATCGCTAAACAATCTCACGAAAATTTTTATATTTAATACTATTAAACTATACCTTATTAAAATTTTATGTATTTTCTAAAATGTTTTATTAACCTTAAATTACTTTATTAGGTCAGCGACTACCTTAAAAAACAAATGGTGCCATCAGACGGTGCTGAGATCAGCGAAGACATCAAGCAGATGTTGGAGAACCACGACAAGTTAGTGGAAGAAATCTTCCAACATGAAGACAAAGATAAGAACGGCTTTATAAGCCACGAAGAGTTCTCTGGACCAAAGCACGATGAACTCTAAATAATTATAAGTAAAAACCACTCCATTCATATAATTAACAATGGAGGGTAACCAAGACTTACCGAGTGATCATAGTATTCTACTTTCATATCTACGTAATTTTCGTATAAAATTTATAAATTAGGATCTACTGTAGCAGTTGCGTTTCGCAATTTCCCGTTTTTTATAACACTGATACCATATTATTATACTTATTTACGTTTATTGTTTCTGAAATGCGAAAATTACATACACGCTACATATTTAAGTTTGACTGCAAGTGCACTCGAGTCAGTCCACCATAGCTTTGTCTCAAATTATTTAATATTTGTACTTAGTCTACTCTGTTGTAAGATTAAGATAGATACTATTAATGAAATTTATGTATATTCTATACTAAAAACTTTTGGCAAACTTTTTCAATTTGTTACCTTTGTGAAGATTATTATAATATATTTTGTATTTGTATTTTTAATATTTTTATTTGTGTTGTTAATATTTAGTGTGTTGCGGTCTATGAGAATAGTTTTAATGAACATTTTTAGATAAATTTAATAAGTAATGACTTCGATGATGAACAATAACTTGTCTACCAACATACAAATAAGTACAGAAGACGTCCAAGATACAGATAAAACATCAAAAAGTAATAAACTATCGCCGCTTACAACCATACAACCTTAATTTTAGTTCATGAATAGTTTATTTATAATAAATCAATTTTCTACAATTTTTATTATTTGCTTCTCGTAAGCGTACAATTAAAAGCATAATGAATAAATGTAAAACTCAGTTAATCATTCCTCAATTGTTCAAATAAAATATTACTATCGGGAAAATTTCTGTCGTTTTATTTCTTACACATAACCTTTATTACACCCTATATAGTTTTAAGATGATAGCAAAGACCTAAACGATTTTTTTTAAAACACCATGCTATTTCATTTCAAAGAGAATTAGCTATGTACATATGTAATAATACTTTTACACTATAATATCTATTGCACAGCTAGTACCCGCCATAGACATAGAGAGTGGACTAAATTTCTTTGCCAGCCGTCAGCTAAAATAATGGAAAGTCATGACAGAGACAAAACGACTGTGCGGCCAGAACTCTTCTGCATTCATTAAAGTACCTGTACGACTAATAAAGATAGATATCTATTTAAAATCATTTTACATTCCATTATAATATAATATTTTTTTCACATTCCATTTATAAATTCAAATTGTAATAAGAGACAGGTATTGGCCGCACGTTCTCTTTCTTTTTTTCTAGAGACTGGTTTCATGAGAGTATTGCTCAGTGCATTCTCTACGTCTATGGTACGCGCCAATATACACGTACTCGCTATTCGTTTTCATTCTCAAAGTCTAATAGGACGATACTCTGATATGACCGGTGGAAATTAAGGCGCAGGGCCGACAGTTTTATGTGCCCTACGAGGCATGGGGTTGCAACATCGCCAACTTCCCAACTCCGGGTTGCTACTGAGAAATCCTTAACAGAAAAACACAAAAAACTTATCCTAACCTGAGACTCGAACCCAGAACCTCCGTATCTAAGACAGCACAGCCAGCCACTAAAACACCGAGGCAATTCATCCTAGTAAAGCTAGTAGCTACCACACAACTAGAATATTTAGTACTAACGCTGCCCTGACTTGGTGTAAAATGACACATACACAATAATTTATGAACATACTTAAGTGAGGCATTTATATGTATACTTATACATTATACGCCACGCTAGATCTCAATAACTTACTACTTGAAAAATGTCAAAAACTGTTTTTTCTTATTACTATTGAATTTATGAGAATGGATAGGTACATGGTTATAGCTAATACTTCGTCTGTACTTGCGAAGCTTGGCTTAAATCGATAGGCGTTGAAGTTTCCGACCACCTTGCCACTTTTGATCGATCAGCCATCTAAAGCTCCATGTTACACACTGTGACACTACATATATAATTCAAAAACTATATAAAACATAAAATCATTTATATATCGCATATGAAATTTTTAGATCACGGTTGTTGGGAACCAAACAAATAAATTGTAGACTACTTTAGCTATGAGTATAAGAACTATTTTGATTACTTTAGCCTTAGTTGCATTTGTAGATATTTCCAGATTCCTTAGAAAAAGTGAAAGGCTAAAATGACAATACGACAGACACAAACACACTGTAGCCATTGAAATATTAAAAAGAGGCCTTCATCTGTCTATATGCCATTTCCTCGACCATTGATACGATTGTGATGAAACTCTGATGGGTTATTCTGTATACGCCTGCGAGTCACTGCGCGTACCTGCACTCGCAGCTTATATCCGATCCAGCGCTGGATTTACACTAGGGGCACTCGGGGCTAGTGCCCAGGGCGGCAAATTTTCAGGGCTGGCAAAATTCGAAGGAAAAAATGAATAAATAAAAAAACTATTTTTTGCATTTATGAAAAATTAAAAAATTTGAACTTTACCGAAACTTTATCCATTTTATGCAAAAATTCGATAATGGGGCTGCACTTCTTCCATTGCCCAGGGGCGGCGCTAAGATTGAATACGGCACTGATCCGAGCCATTATTAAAATTGCATCGAACTATAAACGCTTATATATAGCCATAGCATAATATTTTCAAAATTAATTAATATCTCATATTAAATGAATGTGAGAAAACTACACCTGCTGTGAAAATTTTTATGCTTCAAAAATCTTAATGTTATGCGTTTTTATATTTTATTAAATATATTCAATGAATTTCATAAAACAAATGAAAATCAAGTAAAAAAAAATATTCTAAAATATCAAGCGCAGGTATATATTATTTTTATAAGAAGGTTAAATATACTTTTACTAGGAACTTTATTATTTAACTAGCATTGCCTGCGGCTCCGCCAGTGTTCAGATGACCAAAAACCAAATTCTTAGGTTTTACATTTTAGTACACTCTTATATTGCAGTTTTTATATCTCAAAAATGTGACATTTTCCCGAGGTATAAAGTATCAAATTTCATCAAAATCCCTCCAGTGGTTTTTCTGTGATGCGGTAACAGACAGACAGACAAAAGTTCTAAAAACTATAGTCTTTGTATCGATAATCATGTTTATTTCAATAAGATTTTCCAAAAAATATCTGATGTTCAGATTCGGCTTAGTTACAATTTTATTATATATATAGAATTATTATACTAGTATTATTTTACGATGATCTGTGATTAAAAAAAAATATTCCCAGTAGAAAACAAAATACAAAATTATCTGCCACTACAGTAACCGGTAACGCCATCTCTGCTCTTTACATAAAACTATTTATTTTTTTCTAAATAAGAAATATTTCAATAGTAAAATATTACTTACGCTTTAATAATTAAATTAAAATAAAACAATATATTACGCTGATTTTTATTAATTTAAATTATTTTATTTTCCATAGTAATTAAAATACTGTTTATTTGTTTACTGGTTTAGAAATATTTTATCTGTTAAAGTTAATTATCTTTCTATGAAGTTGGCAAGAGACAGTGGTTCCAACATTCAACATTGTTTACATAGAATATTGTCAGAGAGAGTCAGACATTTTACAGTTTACTTGTAGCAATATACCAAAGAGTATAGTTATAAACTGGGAACAATATACTCTATGAGTTTACTGCTCCCGTCCGATTCCGCGGTCCGTCATTGTCAGTCACAATCTGTACGGTAGTTGGTAACGTCTTTTAGAGTGGTGCCTTTTTATAAGACATTCGAAAGTTTAGTGTTAATGAATAATTTCAACTACCTGCATAATTCCATCGTCAAGAGACGCTATATGGTGTCTTCATAAAAATGCTGTCTAACAAACGGTTAGTAATAACATGTGCCATTATTTTCTGCAGTAACATTGCGCTCCTGGGGTTGTTTGTTAAATATAACATAGGTGAAAAATGTTATATCACTATAAATGTACATCAAAAGAGCCACATATACATGCCCGACAATTTTCTCAGTTTCGGCATCGACACATCTGAAATAGAAAATTACAATGAAATAGACTTTAGCAGTGAAAAATTTCGAGAGTTGACTGCAGCGCTGGCACCAGCAAGACTCCGCCTTGGGGGTACTATGTCGGAGCGATTGATTTTTAGCTCTGAAGACGAATTTACAGCTTCATGCGACCGTTGTAATTCTAATGCTGGGTCTTCTAATACGACTTGCTTGGCTGTTCGAAAATTGTGCACGCATAAATTTTTACCCTTCTTTATAATGACCGGAAAAAAATGGTCTGAAATAAATGAATTTTGTAAAGCCACAAATATTAAATTACTATTTACATTCAATGTTCTCATTCGCAATGAAGAGGAGTGGGATTCTCAAAATGCCATTGATATTTTAGAATATTCTAAAATGAAAAATTTTGATATAGATTTTCAACTTGGCAATGAACCAAACTCATTTCGACATGTTTTTAACATTAGTATAAGCCCTCAAAGCTTAGCACATGATTTCAAAAAACTTCGTAAGCTTTTAAATCATCATGGATATAAAAAATCACTGCTTGTTGGGCCTGACACTACTAGACCACAAGAACATCAACCCAACTGCCTTAAATATATGATGGATTTCTTAATTAATGGTTCTCACTATATAAATGCAAGATCTTGGCATCAGTATTACTTAAATAGCAGGACAGCAAAGTTAGAAGACTTCTGGAATCCCGATACATTTGACTTACTAAAGGAGCAGATTGAAACTATGCAAAGTCATACAAAGAAATACCATAACATACCAATGTGGTTGACTGAAACTAGCAGTTCCTATGGAGGAGGGGCTCCAGGGCTGTCCAATACATATGCTGGAACTCCTCTTTGGATTGACAAGCTCGGATTATCAGCAAAATATAACATAACTACAGTTATAAGACAGAGCTTATATGGGGGTAATTACAGCCTAATTGATGATAAATTAGAACCCCTGCCCGATTGGTGGGTCAGTGTGTTATATAAAAAACTTGTTGGCAATAAAGTATTGCATATAAATTGTAAGTGTTCTCGATTCCAAAGAATATATGCACACTGCACTAATAGAAAATATACAAATGACACAACAGCTATTACCATTTTTGCTGTAAATTTGCAATTAGACAAAGCTAAGTTTCTCTTGAATGGGACTGCCTTTCATGGCAGTGATTTGAATATAGATGAATACATTATCAGTGCTCCGTCAAACAATAGGAGAACTAAAACAGTTTTGTTGAATGGCTGGCCGCTGTATTATGAATCTCCACGCCTGGATCTTCAACCGAACCACATTAAGTATGGTAACCATATTTCTATGCCGCCATACTCCATTGGATTTTGGGTAATAAAAAATACATCTGTTAAAATTTGCAAATAACTCATATATTTAGGTAATAATTAAATGGATATATTGAAAAGATAATGCTAAATCATATATTCTTTATTTATAAGCTACATTCCAGTGATATTGATGCCTTTCTTAAAGTTATGTATTACCTATTTCAAACATTACGATCTTCTTTCTTGCAATTTTCTTTGCAAATGATCTCACAGAGATAGATCTTTTGAAAATCTACTATACACTTTTGATATTCATGTACCTGTGTTAGAGCAAAATAAACTAAATTAATTGTATTGAAAATCTACAGCTGCCAATAATCTTTATAGGTTCATAATTTTTATATGATTTTTTGTATTTATGATAGTTAACTAAATATTTAAAAACATAATTTCTACCAGTTATAACTATAATATAACATTATCTACAAGCTTTAAGTGTATAAGTGCAATAATTTCTGATTAACCTTTACAACAGTCTCGTGGTTTTTAAATATTCAAAAATATGTACAAAGATTACTATCAATGGGAAAATTAGATCAAGCGATTTTCTTATGTTAGAAAAGTTTGCATTTGTATTATCTAACTCCCTACTGTTATCTTGATATATTACGTCATCGTAAACATACTGTTGCAATTTATTGTTCTTAATAAGCGCTGACAATTGGCAGCCTTGCCCGCTTGTCAAGGAGAGTTCTTGCGATGACATTGAATGCATCTAGAGCTTACGAGCTGAACAATAACAAAACTCATCTTACACAAAAATTTAATCGTTTTTATATAATCACGTTAAATATTTCCTGGCTGGTTCTCTTATGGGAAAATTAAACGAAAGGTGTCTTTTTGATATTCAAAGTTCATTGTCTCTACGACGTAGGCTCGAAAAATTCTGTAAATAAAAAAAATACTGTACATTACATAACGAACATCTTATGTTAAATATTAAGTAACGTGACAAAAGAAAATATTAGAGATCTTAATTAATTCAGTAGATAACAACTTGCAAACAAGAATGGCAAAGATTTAAAACATGTAAAAAGATTCCATAATCAAATGTCAACTTGTATTTTTGTATGTAAAAACCACAAGACATACAAAATTTATTGTTCAATCGCATTTTTAAACATTCTAATCTCAGCATTTTTTGACTGTTCTAGAGATGTAGTTTAAAAGTAATGAATATTTGTATCCGCGTTGCGAATATATCTTGTTATTATACATGAATCCTGCGAATTGTTTGCTTCTCGTAGTTTTAATGTTAGTAAAATATTATCATTTATTACTTAACTTGATCATTTAAGCATTTTCTCACTTTCCGCCTAACTCGATGTGTCTTAAGGGATGTACTATAACATCCCTTTTAATTTGCCATCCATACAGCCTTAAAGCGTGTATTCAAAATTACCTGTATTTAAGAGCTAAATTGTAAGGTGATCATCATCGATCAAAAAAGTACTAGATACACAATCAGCGACAAAAATGTCCTCACCGAATGAGCGCTCATTTGAACATTTGAGCGCGCTTTTAATTTTTTTTAATGAAATCATCTTCAAGTATTGCATTTAAGGTTCAATTTACATTGTTTTATATTTATTTCAATTAGAATAATTACCTAAACACATTTGGTGACAGTTTTAAGAGAACTATTGTATGTGATTGTGTATAGAGTATTTGTAAGTGATCTTTGTTTTATAAAAATAGTACCTATATTATATATATATATATATATATATATATATATATATATAAAAATTAATATGTTCTTACTTCTTTCTATATAGCAACATTTGTGAAAATAATTTACAATGAGTCATACCATCGATCCACTCTGTTGGTTTGTGAAAATGATTTTTTATAAATATTGCCACCATTAGTATTAGTGATAAGCTATTTAGAATAAAATTAAGAGATTTGCTATATTATATATTTTTATCTTCTTTTATATACTATACAAATTAAATAACATAATGAATTTTTAGTTTACATGATGTTCACGTTTTCTGTGCGCTTCTGTTGTGATTTGAGGGTGCCCAAATGTAAGACTGATTAGATTTACAATATTATTTATTTATTTTTTTATTTTCGAAACGTACAAAATAACTGAAAAATAATGTTTGATTTATATTAAACATATATAATATGGTATTACAACTATTTATAATAACAAATGATACCTATATCTAGCTATGAAACTGGATGAATGCGTTTTGACACTATTAGCGCTTTTTTTTTAATTACCCATACAAAGTGGATGTGAACAAAATGGATGACGACTTTATATTACGTTTTTTTTTTCTTCAAAATGGTCTCTTGTACAAGTAAACCTTCTTTTGTATACTTTTTTAATATATTATGTCGAATTTCTGTTAATCAAATATAAATAATAATTTTTAGTTTTATATAACATCACATTGTAGTAATATATGTATTTATTAAGTTTTTATTTTGTCGAGCTAGTACATACTTACTTAGTGTATTTTATTACAAGTAATTTAATGTTTAAGTATATAATTCGCATTTCCACACAAAAATATATTTATATTAACATATTTTCCTGTTAATTGTAGTTTTTATCCTTTTGTTGTAATTTAAATATTATTCAAATATATTATTAGAATCTAGTGACAATTTTCTTCATGCAAATGTCGTAAAATACCCACTAAGACAATAATATGTTTTCATTACAAATACGTAGGTATTACTCATAGAAAGAAGTCAATGGTTATCGCAGATATCCCACCGAAGCCCGCACGTCTGTAAATCTAAGGCGACATTTGAGTCAGTCGTTATATATTATATGTTACTGTAAAAGCTTGAACTAAGGTTTGATGACACGTTTAGCTAAGTTTGTAATGACCCTACTAGCTGTGCATGCGGTCGCGGGTTCGAGTCCCACTGAGGGCGTTTGTTTGTGTGATGAGTACGAATGTTTATACACCAGTCATGGGTATTTATAAGGTTATTCCTATGATTTTCCAGTAACTTTAAAATGTGCCAACTCCTCTGTTAAAGATATCTTCATCGTTAAATTTAAACTTGCGTGTATCAAATTAAAGGTAACAGCACTAAAAAAAATTTTTAAGCGCACATTTACTAACTTATGTTAACACATCAAAAGATTTAGAAGTAACCCGTAATATTTGCTAATATACCGGCTTTTATTGTAACAGATATATGTTACCGGTAATGTGAATAATAAAGATATTTTCAAAGAATGCCTAGTCAGTTGTGTATAATGCTGGCATTTTCATAGTTTTACAGCGCTCAGAAGTGGTTTTTGTTATGTATTCTGTAAAAGCTGATATATTTTTATATATTGCACTATAACATGCACGTATAAACTGGTAAATTTCTCTTTAGAATGAATAATCATATACATTGTTGTCAAGACATCCGTTTTGTTGCCACAATAGCTTAAATTGTTTCATAGTTATTGTTAAATATAATAGCTTAATCTAAAGTAAACAAATAAGTCAATTTGTAAGTAGATAAAAATATTAGAAAACTATAGGTGATACTTTAAATCGAGATAACTTTTTCATCTATGTACCGATTGTAAAAAAAAAACTAAATGTTAAGTGAAGCTTGCCGCAATACATTAGTGTTCAAACCAAATCGGTTAAGCTGTTTCTGAGATTAGAACGCACACGAACTTTCAAACGCACAGACAAACAGACACAAATTCAAAAAATCCTTGTATTCGGTTCTGTTGCGTTAATAAACTATTAAGTTTTTCTCAAATAAATTCCATGTATAGACAGCAATTAGTTATCGATCGAAGTTAGTTGTGCGAATAAAACTAAATGATGAAATATATGAAAAATTTTCATTATTTATATTAGCCAGAATTTGTTTTTTTTTTTGATAGATAGAAGCCATTTTTTTAATATAACTTAAATGCTAGGATAAATTGAACGCACGAGTATATATAACCTAATTTTACTAACATTATTAATTATAATATGTACATTTAATTTATTGCAATTACTACTCGTGTGCTGAGATTTCTAGATTTAAGAATTATTATAAAACGTTCAACAGTGCCTTCTTTGTGCTTTGGAAATATATATATATATATATATATATATATATATATATATATATATATATATATACCTATATATTTTTATTAGTAAGCATGTAATTTAAAAATGTAACTACAATAGGTAATGTTGATCTGTAGCTTTTCATAAAAAAATAAAAAATCTAGTGTTCGCCCACTGGTCGAAATTCGGTCATAATCATTATCGAAAAATTAATTAGCATAATATACGTATAAAAAAACTGTTTCCAAAGTTTTTTTTATTGCATCATTAGCTATTAAAGAAAAAAATAAAATAAAATCGTTTGACAAATAGAACCTAAAATGTACTAATCTGTTTTGTCTTTGCCTATTTATATTATATTTACTAGCATTGCCCGCGGCTCCGCCCGCGTTCAGATGACTAAAAACCAAATTCTTAGGTTTTACATATTAGTATATTCATTACATTAGTTACATTACAGTTTTTGTATTTTTTCTCAGAAATGAGATATTTTCCCGCGGTAAAAAGTACCCTATATGTTGACCCGAATATCCAGCTATCATCATACCAAATTTCATCAAAATCTGTCCAGTGGTTTTCTCGTGATGCGGTAACAGACAGACAGACATAAATTCTAAAAACTATAGATTCGGCCTCTGATCGCTAATAATGTCTATTTCAATTAGATTTTCCAAAAAATATTTAATGTACAGATTCGGCTTGGTTACAATTTTATTATATGTATAGATAAATGCTTTATACCCTACAATTAAATGTTTTTATCAAACCGATTATGAACTTGGCATATTTTCTTCTAAATACATAACGACTTGACCATAAAGAGATATTTTTTTACTTTTCTAGAAATGTACCGCGTTTTATAAAATGTGATTAAATGAATCGAGTGGAAGAAGCTACGTATCATTCGATATTCGCACATGGCTATCTGACATCAATCGTAATTAAATTTGATTATTTGTAAGTTTTATGTGACAGGAAGGCAATTTTGGTA